CTTATCTCTTCAGTGTACCACTGATCATTCAAAAGTATTGTTAAATCTCCATATGTCTGCTCATTTTCTGTCATATCTCTTGTTGATTTCTAATTTTATCCCATTGCGATCTGATAAAATACAAGAAGTTATTTCAATTTTCTTATATTTATTAAGACTTGTTTTATGTCCTAAAAATACCTATTTTGAAGAAAGTTCCATGAAGAACGTGTATTCAGCAGCTGTTGGATAGGGTATTCTGTAGGTATCTCGTCTATTCGACCTAAAGTGTCAATTAATTCTGAGAATTCCTTGTTGATTTTTTGTCTGAATGACCTGTTTCTGAGAGTGGGATATTAAAGTCACACACTATAATTGTATTTGGGGTCTCTCTGTGCTTTTATGTCCACTAGTGTCTGCTTTATGAAATTGGGTGTGCTGACATTCAGCACCTATGTGTTTACAATTGTTATATCCTCTTGATGGATTGTTCCCTTTACCAAAATGAAGTGACCTTCTTGGTCTCTTCTGGCTCATTTTGGTTTGAAGTCTGTTTTGTCAGATATGTGTACAGCTACTTTTGCATAGTTTTGAACATTGTTTTTTTTTTCCATCCATTTACTGTAAAACTGTGTTTGTCTTTACCAGTGAGGTGCACTTCTTGTAGGCAACAAACAGTTGTGTCTTATTTTCTAATCCAGTTTTAATTGGAGAATTGAAAACATTGACATTCAGAGTTACTATTGAAAAATATATACTCATTCCTTCCATTTTGTTATTTTTGTAATGTTTGATTCTTTCCTTATCTTCATTTACTTATCTACAGTTCTAGTGAGAATTATTCTTTCCTGTACTCTCACTATTTTTATCTTCCTCTTCTGTATGTAGGATTCCTTTAAGTATTTTCTGTAGCAATGGTTTAGTGGTCACGAGTTCCATTGGTTTTTGTTTATCACAGAAGATTTTTATTTCTCCTTCAATCATGAAGGATAGCTTTAATGGATACACTAATCTAGGTTGGCAGTTCTTTCAGGGCTTGAAGTATGTCATTTCATGCTCTCAAGACTTTTAGAGTTTTGTTGAGAAATTTGGTGCTGTTCTGATGTGTTTGCCTTCATATGCAACTTGGCATGTCTCTTGCACCTTTCAGTTTTCTTTCCTTGCTCTGTATATTTAATGTTTCAATTGTCTCTTAGTTCTGAAAGCCACCTTTACCTGGATGACCACTTCTTTTCCATGATGTTGGAAACTTTCTCATATTATTTTGTTGAATATATTTTCCATGTCTTTATCTTGGACCTCTTCTCCCTCTTCCATGCCCATGTCTTATATTTGGTCTTTTGATGATTTCCCAGAAGTCTAATATGATCTGTTTGTACTTTTTGTTTTTTCCTTTGTTATTTTCTGAATGTCTAATTTATCTACCTTGTCTTCAAGACCTAATAGTCTGTCTTCTACTTGTTCCAGTCTGCTGGTAAGACTTTCAACTGAGTTTTTAATTTGATGAATTGAGGTTTTATTTATAAAATTTCAATTTGATTTTTTCAGAATTTCTATGACTTACACTGAATTCCTCTTTTATATTTTGCATTGTGTTCCTTATTTCATTCACATGACTATTTGTATTCTCTTTGATTATTTTGCATTGATCATTTTTACAATCATTCTTTGGAATTCATTGTCTGAGATTTCATCCACTTCAACATTATTAGCATCTCTTATTGTGGTTAACTTTTGGAGGAGTCATGTTGCCTTATTTTGCATATGTCTTGTGTTTTTACATTGAGATTTGTGCTTCTGGGTCCAAGTCATTGGTTGTAGTTATTAATACTCTTTCAGTTGAAGTATTTATCCTGTTGAGGCAGGACTGAGTAGTGGCAAGATTAAGGTACAGTTTCTCATAACTGAACTTAATGTATAATTCAGTAGACAAGTATTTACCTAGTGTGGTGATGGCACTAGAACTACTATTCAGAGAGGTAAAAAATAGCTGCAGAGGCAAACCACATTGTTAGGTATACCCACTATGGAAATACAGTAATAAGTAATTAAAAACACTACCACAACTCCAGTAACCTTAGAGGAATAAGAAAGCAAAGATGCTACTATCTGAACATAGATGATACTAGTTAAAAATGATAAGAATGAAAAGAAAATAGGAAGACTAACACTAGTGAATAGTGAAGGAAATGGAGTGGCAAAAAATGGATGGAGAAGAGTGAAAAGTAAATAGAGGGGAAGTGATGAGAATGATTAAGGGAATAGATAGATAAAATGTAGCTAAAGGTGAAGTAAGAAATAGAAAAGAACAAAAAATAAAACACAGAAAACAAATACCCAACCAAAAACAGTGATAATAAAGAATTGCAGAAGAGGAAAGAGACAAAGAAGAAAACATAAGAGAGAGAAAGCTGATCTAACTGAAGACCAAAAGAGAATAAAAATTGGGGGAGGGAGAAAAGAGAGTGAGGGACATGAAGAGATTAAAAATTAAAGGGTAGGTATAGTGGCTCATATCTGCAATCTCTGTACTTGAGGGGATGAGGAGGGAGACTCAGTTCCAGGCCAGGAAAGCTTATCTCAAAGACAGAACAAAAAAATAAAAATATACTGAAAAAGGTGACCACAACCACAAAAAACAGGATAAAAGAGGTCAAAGAAATTAGATGTTAAGTGGAGAAGTAAGGGAAGTGTAAATGTAAAGAAAGGGGGAAAAAGAAATTGTATGAAAATAGGACAAAAAATTAAATGTGATATTTAAACTGATAAGTTAGGTTTTAAAACCCTTTGTAGAAATCTGAAGCTATGCATGGTGCTTCACACTTGTAATCCCAGCTATTTAGGAGGCAGAGACAGAAGGATTTGAGGCCAGCCTGGGAAAAAGACCCTGTGTCAAAAGTAAATTTTTAAAGAAAGGAAGGGAGGGAGGGAGAAAGGGAGGAAGGAAGGGAGGGAAAAGGAAAGCAATGTGTCAAAGAAAAGAGTAACAAGAGAAAATGAATAAATGAAAAAAATGAAGGTTTGGGCAGTACTGGGGTTTAAACACTCGGCATGTTGCTTGCTAGGCAGGTGATCTACCATTTGAGCCACAGCCCCAGTGCCCAACTTTGTTTAGATAAAAAAAAAACAAAGGAAGATAAGTTTCCAGTCTTCTTAGTTTGCCAGTACTGTGGTATTAGTGTAAAATGCTCACTGACTTTCCTTTCTTTGGTGGATTTGATAGCTGACTTCCTGGTGTTTTCCTTTGTGTTGATTCCCTAGCAAGCAAAGGGTGTTCTGTGGAGCACACTAGTGGTTATTACTTCTTAGTAAGTACTAACTTACTGTTAGTGTATCTTCTGGAGCCTTCAAATGTTTGATGCTGGAGTGAGGATGTCCTGATGCAGCAGAAAATTCAGTGGTTAGCTCTGTCCTAGTCTCCCCATCTTAGAACTTTGCCCAAATGGGGAAGGGTTCTATTCCCTACTCTGGGTTCAAGAGCAATTAGCCTCTATGAGCGGCTCTCTGCATTTCTGACTCAGACCTTCCTCTATTACTAGGCCAGTTCTCCCTATACTTTCTTAGTGAATAAATGCCTGAATCATGCTGTGTGTTCCCAGAGACAGGATGAGGCTGGGAGCTCTGATCCCTACAGTCAGTCCTGCCACTGCTCAGAGTCAGTGCTCTTTCACAATGTTTTCTACCTCCCTGCTGCAATCGAATGATGGGCAAACTGGCATAATTCTTAGTTGCAACATATAAAACAAGAATAGTAGAAAGTGTTTTCAGGAAATCAAGAAAAAAGTATAAATGAAGAAGGAAGAAAGGAAGCAAGGAAGAAAAGGGGAGGGAAGAGAGATAGAGGGGAGGGGAGGGGGAGAGAAGGAAGGGAAGAAGAGGAGAAAGGAGGACTAAAGAATTTATGGGCAGCCAAGTTGTGTCTCAAATGAAAATGCTGTATTTCAGGCCCTGTGGAATACAAATAAAGCAATGATTACAATAAATTTTATAGCCTTAAAATAAGTGCAAAATAAAATAAAAATGAAAGAAACTTGCATCATAACTAACCACTCCCAAACCATACAGAGACCACAGGAGCTATGCTCTCCTCCTTCTCAGTGAATTTTAATTTCTTACTCACTAAAAATTTGTATTATATTTTTTGCTTCACTGTTGCTACTTTAATGTAAATGCTTATAGTTCACATCTGTCTCTTTCTGATGTGCTACTTACCACTTCTTCTTTAGAGCTTCCTCTAAATTACTAGTCTGCTCTCACAGCTCCATTGTTCATATCTGCCTCTTCTGCAGCTCCTATTGTCTATATTTGCATCTACAAAATAAGGGATGAGCATAATGAAGATATGTTAGACAGTCCACATGATGTGAAATTCAAGAATACCTATTCATGTTTTTCTCTTACGTAGACAAAACTTTTTAATTTAAAAAAGCTTGTTAATTTATTTTAATAGATGTAAATGTATATATGCAAAATACATTCTCAGGTTTTCTTTATGTTCTTTCATTTGATTTTATAACCTAATTAACCTTGGTCCTGCCTCATATCAAACAGTGTTCTTTGCAGTTTCCTAAACTTGACATTTCTCATGCATCCATGCTGTTGCCAATTATGGGATTGTTATTCATAAAGTTTACATTACCAGTTTAGCCACTTAATAAAAACTAGCATGATAATTTAAAATGTACATACCTATTACCATTTGTATCTCATCATAACACCTGCTACCATATTGCTATTAGATATTTATATCTTTGTCTCTCTGTCAAAGGATGAGCTCCTTAACAACAGGAATAGGTTGCTTTGATTCATGTTTGTACCTCGAGCACAGTTGTAGGCACAGAGTGAGGGTTCAGTAAACATATATCAAATAAATGGAAATGTATAAAACAGGATACAGATTTTGCAGCATACCATAATTGTTCAGAGAAAATATAGTTAGTAATTAACACATTAGCTTAATGTGTCTTTTCAATGGTAATCTTTTCTAATCATGTCATATTGAATTGAAATTGTTGTTCCAGGGACCAGTGACGTTTAAGGATATTACTGTGGAATTCAGCAAAGAGGAGTGGAAATTACTGACTCCTGCTCAGAGGAGCCTGTACAAAGATGTGATGCTGGAGAACTATAGACTCCTGGTCTCCGTGGGTAAGAAAAACTATATGTAACTACAAGTAGTTTGCATTTCTTTTCCTAATTGTTGGAACATGTAAGGTCCCTACAGAATTGAATGATACTAACTTTGTATAAGGGGGTAGTCAAAGTTAATGAATCTGTTCTGGGTACCAAGAAAAAAATTGTGCCCCTACCTCTCCATTGAAAGAAACCAAATTTCCCAAGCCTAGGTGAGACCTTCATTGTTTTCCTACAGCTGTACTTATTCTTCAGAGTCCCTAAATTCCAAGCAATTTACAGTATTTCCTCTTGCATCAATAGGTTACCGTGTGAATAAGTCAAATGTGGTCTTCAAGTTGAAGCAAGGAAAAGAGCCATGGATATTAGAAGTAGAATTTCCACGTCGAAGATACCCTGGTGAGTTAGAAAAAATATATCTCATTAACATGAGATAATTAACATGAGTTAATTATCATGTTAATTATCATGTTAACTAATTAACATGAGTTAATTAGTGAGGTGATTGATCCTTCTTTCTTTTTGAAATATTGTTCAAGAATCTCTCTCTAAATTCCTTATAGAAAAGAGATGATTTGAGGACACCTGATCTGCATATGTAAGAAATACAAATCATACCTCCACTTTTTGCTCTTTACACTTAAATGTCTACCAAAAGTAGACATTTTAATAGATTTACTTCTATTACCTATATACAGAAGTTAATCCCTACCTAACCTTATCTGAAATTTGTGATGTTTTCTCTAGGATTCCCAGTTACTTCCTACCATTGGAGCATACACTATAATCTTAAAGTGTGTTTAAATCTAATTTATAAATTTTTTTCAAAAGACAGCTTCCATCTTTTTCAACTAGCAACAAAATGTCTCAGTTATTTTTCTGTACCATTTAAGCAAAATTTTAGCCTAGTCTCTCTTAAACTCTGAATTCAGATTTTAAATCATGCTGCTCAGCAACATAATGCTGATGCTTTTTTCTGTGTGGCTTTATCCTTAACATGGTAGCTGATTATCTTTCCTAAAATCTACTGCGTTTTATTTGGAATATTTAGCACCAAGATAACCTTACCCTGCTTCTTTTGATATTTTTCATGTTTTTACTGGCTTGTGTGCTGATATGTTGCCAGATACAATGCCTGGCACATTGTAGCTGTTCACCAGATCTTTGTGGAAAAGGAGTTTTGAATAACAGGTGACACTCTACTCTAGGCTTTATGTTCTTCATAATAATTCCTGCCAGGGCTCACTCCTTCTTAAGACCAAATCATGAGTTCTTACTCTTCAGCATCTCTGTCCTATGTATATTCTGGTCTCATATTTTACCTTCTAATTTCCTTTCCTCTTAGGGTCAAAAACAAAAACAAGCTCAGTGCTGGTGGCTCATGCCTGTAATTCTTGCTACTTGAGGGGCTGTAATCAGGAGGATAAGTGTTCAAGGCCAGCCTGGGGAAATAGTTCTCAAGTCCCCATCTCTAAAATGAGCAGAGAAAACTGGACTAAACACATGGCTCAAGTGATAGAACACCTGCTTTGCAAGTGTGAAGCCTGAGTTCAAAACCCCAGTCCCACCAAAGTAAAATAGTATAAAACAAAGCAAAAACAAAAACAAAAAACTTTTGAGACTGGGTCTCACTATTTATCCCAGGCTGGCCTCAAACTTATGATCTTTCTGCCTCAGCCTCTTGAGTATTGGGATTATAGGCTGTGTCAGTATGTCCAGCGAAAACAAATTCTTAATTTAACTTCTCAAAGTAGTTGTGTAATTCAGCATACTTATATTGCCACTAGTCTATATGCTAAATAGTAACTCACTATTACAATATACATTTAAGTTAATTGTCTGTCAAAAACAGACTCTTTTGTCTACTGCAGCTTAATTTTTTTTATAGGGCCCAAACAAGTTAACCTCCATTTGCCACATGTTTTACACACATGGGATCTTTTTTTCTTTGAAGTACTGGATTTGAACTCGGGGTCTCATGCTTGGTAGGCAGGTGCTCTACCACTTGTGCCATGTCCCCTGACCTTCTCTGTTTTAAGCATTTTTCAGGCAGAGTCTCATGTTTTTGCCCAGTGCTGGCCTTAGACCATGATCCTCCTATCTACGGACTTCCTATCTACTTCTGGGGTGACAAGCTCATGCTTATTGATTGAGATGGGGTCTTGCTAACATTTGCACAGGCTGGCCTCAAACTGCCATCCTACTGATCTCTGCCTTCTGAGTTAGTAAGAATTACTGACATGAGCCACCATGCCTGGCCCATTCAGGGCATCTTATTTTATGTATATCCAAGTTAAATTGCACAAGTCTCTGTCAAATAACTTTCCCTATAAATGCCATGAAATTTCAGCCCCAAGCCTCTGCTTATAATGTTTTACTTTCATGCACTTAAAGATGACTAAATATGAAGGTCTGGAAAAGTTTTAGAGTAGTCTTGAATGATCTAATAATTAAGAATCAGGTAGTAAATTGGAAGAAGAGATGTACAGCCAAGATATGAAAGCAAAGTTTAAGACTCAGGTTGAATCATAGCTAATGCTGCTTTGGAAATACAGTGGATTCAGATAAGTTCAGTATTGAAAATCTCTGATGCTACAACTGGAAATTCATCCTCTTGTGTAGATAGCTTGTCCTCAGATCTTTAAAAATTCCTTTCTTTTGGTATTCCTGGTTCCTCCTATCCCAGTGGAAACTGACTAACTTTATGGAGAATGAAAGCCTATATTTTAAGAACATTCCTCTAAACACGAGGAAATTGATGTTCTAAGAAATTCACTTTACTGTTGACATCTACATTGTTGTAGGTAGATAAAGAGGAAGTAAAATACAACTGTATAGTCTTCTAACTACAGTAGTCCTCCAATCTACAATTTAACTTTCCATGGTTTCATTTATCAGTGGTCAATCACAGTCTGAAAATAGTAAGTGGAAATTTCCAGAAGTAAACAATTCATAAATTTTAAACGACATGCCATTGAACATGATAAAATCTTCTGCTGTCCCAGTCTGTCCTTCCTGGGACATGAATCACCTCTTTGTTCAACATATCCACACTGTATATGCTACCTGTCTTAGTCACTTAGTAGCCTTCTTTATTATGAGATCTACTGTTGAGGGTTCACAGTGTTTGTCCAAGTAGCCCTTATTTTATTTATAACAGCCCCAAAGCACAAGAGTAGTGATGCTGGTAATTCAGATATTCCAGCTTCCAAAAGAAGCCTTAATGTGCTACCTTTAAGAAGTGATAGTTTATCATAGATATGTACATACAGGAAAAAAAACATAGTATATATAGCATTTGGTACTATCTGGGTTTCTGGTGTCCAGTGGAGGTAGACAATATTCCCTCCAGGGAAGGGTGGAGATCCTAACACAGTAATCTAAGTTTGAGGGGATAGAGAACTATACTTTAAGTCCTTCATCCAATTTAATCTCCTCCGCCCACACTTGCAATAAAAACAGTTATCCATTAATGTTTCTTATATAACTTTACCATTCATTGTCTTAATATCTTTGAATATCTTTTGTGCTCTGTTCCATGTTCATTGTTTTTTGTCCCAACTTTCACCTGCACTGTTTTTTGTTTGTTTTCTTTTTGAGGCAAGGTCTTATTAGCCCAGGATGGCCTCAAATTCATGATCTACCTGCATCAGCCTCCCAAGTACTGGGTTTAGAGGTTTGTGCTATTATGCCTGGATTTCCCAAGTTTTTAAAGTCATATTTATAAAAGTGTTAGGGGTTATTAGGTTTATAATCAGGTTCCTTGCACTGTCTTCTACATAAGTTTTTAGTCTTTGTTATGCTTTTTTCCTAAACAATGGGATAGAGGAGGTATCCATTTGAAAGTTCTTTCATCTTGGTAGATTGTCCTGAAGCCTAAAAATCAACCCTATAATCATACTAATGTGCTAAAATATTGATTCCTTTGTAGAAGAGCTCTGGAAAATTCATGATCTTGGAGTGAAATATAAGGAAAACCAAGCTGGAAATTCAAGGCAAGTTCAACAATTAATATTTAAGATAGAATCATTGTAAGAACATCTTGATGGGGGTAGTGGAAAGGGGAGAGTACTAGTTAACATTAAATGTGAGAAAACTCACACTTGAGTGAATCCCAAAGAATGTAATTTAAATGGTAATGCTCTTTTTCATAAGGGAATTTATTTAGGATCAAGAGATTAAAACTTTGAAGTCATCTTCTGACTGTCCTGAAATGTGAAGTAAGAGAGGCTAAGAAACTCTGTGAATGTAATTCAGGTGGGAGTTTGTTTTGTCAAGTGGTGAACTGCAGTGCCTGTCAGAGAATGTCACAGTGGAGAAGCCTATGATATAATGGGTATGAGAGCATTTCCAGAGGTCAGTCTTTGGAAAATACACAGTGCAAAAAAACCTGTAAGTTGCTGTATTTAATGAAAATGGGGCTTTCTATCTAGGAATGGAGAACTCTCAAAACATCAGAAAACTCGTAACCAAGAGGAATGCCATGAATGTAATGAATGTGGAAAGACCTTCTGCCAGAAGTCTGCCCTCATAGTGCATCAGCATACACACAAGAACAAGTCCTATGAATGTGGTAAATGTGGGAAATGTTTCTCTAAAGATGAAGACCTCACGACACATCAGAAAGTTCACACCAGAGAGAAAACCTATGAGTGTAAAGAATGTAAGAAAATTTTCTACCACCTGTCATCTCTCAGTAGACATCTGAGAATCCATGCAGGGGAGAAACCCTATGAATGTAATCAGTGTGAGAAATCCTTCTACCAGAAGCCACACCTCATGGAACATCAGAAAACACACACAGGGGAGAAACCTTTTGAGTGTACTGAATGTGGGAAGTTCTTCTATGTGAAGGCATACCTTATGGTACATCAGAAAACACACACAGGGGAGAAACCCTTTCAGTGTAAGGAGTGTGGGAATTTTTTTTCCCAGAAGTCACACCTCACTGTACATCAGAGAACACACACAGGAGAGAAGCCCTATAAATGTAAGGAATGTGGGAAACTCTTCTCTAGGAATTCACATCTCAAAACCCATCAGAGAACTCACACAGGAGAGAAGCCCTATGAATGTAAGGAATGTGGTAAATGCTTCTACCAGAAGTCAGCCCTTACAGTGCATCAGAGAACTCACACAGGGGAGAAACCCTTTGAATGTGATAAATGTGGGAAGAACTTTTATTATAAGTCAGACCTCACTAAACATCAGAGAAAACACACAGGAGAGAAGCCCTATGTGTGTACAGAGTGTGGTAAATCTTTCTCTGTGAACTCAGTCCTCAGGTTACATCAGAGGACTCACACAGGAGAGAAGCCCTATGAATGCAAGGAATGTGCAAAATCCTTTTCTCAAAAGTCACATTTTATCATACATCAGAGAAAACACACAGGTGAGAAACCCTATGAGTGTCAGGAGTGTGGGGAAACCTTTATCCAGAAGTCACAACTCTCTGCACATCAGAAGGCACACATCCGGAAGGGAAAAGCTGACAAATAGGATGGGAATTTCTGTCTGAATTCATCCTTTAGAGTAACCAGATAGCTCACATAGAGAGAAAGCTTTGAGTATATCAATAAGAGGAACTTTCCAGGTATATTTTCTCCTTGTAGAATATCAGAAAATGCAGTGAGAAATTCTGTAAATTTGCTAGGGAGAATGTCATCACATGGTAGACTTTAACAAATATCAGACAACATAGATGGCACACAGGAGAGAATACCTATAAATAAAATGAATGTGAAGAATTTTTGTGTTAGGGCATCCAGCAGTACACATCTAAAAGTGTATATGTGTGAGAAACTTTTGAGAATATCCTAAGTATTCAGAAAACTTTTTACACAAGTTGCACTAATACTAGAAAACTCAAGGAGGATAACTGCAAAGATCACAACAGATGTAGAAACAAATGTTTCAGCTGGGCACCGGTGGCTCACACCTGTAATCCTAGCTACTTGAGGGACTGAGATCAGGAGGATGGATCCTGGTTTAAGGCCAGCCTGGGCAAATAGTTCTTGAGACTCCATCTCTAACATAACTAGAACAAAATGGAGTGGAGGAATGACTCAAGCAGTGGAGTGCCTGCTTTGCAAACACGGAGCCCTGAGTTTCAAACCCCAATCACACCAAAAAAAAGTTGCTTCATTTAATGTCATAATGATACTTGCATAATACCTTTATGGGTATTTTAAATATTTGAAAGTTTTTTAACAGAAATTCAAAAACTTTTTACTGAGTTATATTGTAAGTCATGTTGTAGATTCTAAGGTTGTTTTTAAAGAAATCTATAGCCAGTCTTAGTAGCACATGCCTGTAATCCCAAGTACTAGGGAGGTAGAGCCAGGAGATTTGCAAGTTCAAGGCCAACCTGGGCAAAGTTAACAAGACCCTATCTCAAAAATAAAAGGGCTGGTGGTATGGCTTAAGTAGTACAGCACTTGCCTAACAAGCATGAGACCCTGGGTTCAATTCCCTATTCTGAAAGAAATAAAAAGAAAAAGAAAGAAATCTACAAATATCTATATATATGAAGCTTTTTTAAAAAAGCAAAAATAAATTGAGTGGGAAGCATTATTAAACATACATGAAAAGTCTTTTAGTATGTAAGACTTATATGTGCATGTTTGCCATGCATGAGAACCATCCAGCACTGTACATACTAAAGCACATAACCTTAGTTCAATAACTTACATGTAGGAAGATGTATCACATGGTCTCATCGATGTAAATATAATATGTGTTGGTGTATAATACTCTTTTTAATTATAATGCATCCTTTCTCCTATTTCCTGGCACTTACAAATGAGCATAGATATTGTTACTAAACAAAAAAGAACATAAAATGCTTTTTGTAAAATTTTCAAACGTCTTGTGGTCAGCCAAATTTTGGATTAGGGACACATTCATTTGTAGCAAAAGTCTGAGCTACTTCTAAAAAGAAGCTGAAAATGAATATATTTTGAGCTCTATACAATCAAAACAAATAGTTCTATGTAAGAAATGCTATTTATCTTACTATTGATGTTTTAGCAGTGTAAATTTATCTGTGTTTGTATTTTTATGGGAGTCTTAAATATTCTTACCTACCTTTTTCTGCCTAGTAGAAGCAACATAGCACAGTGGCTAAGAGGTGGACTCTGAACTCTACTGCCTTGGTCCAGTTTCCAGCATGGGCCTGCCACTCAGCTTCACTGTGGCCTCAGCAGCTTTCTGTAGGAGAAGTGATAGTACTATCTTAGGATTGCGTTTTGTTTGAAATGAATTGATATTTTTAAAGCACTTAGAATAGTGTCTGAGACACAAGAAAAACTAGACATTAGATATTATGGTTATTATATCTGTATTTCCTGAATTATGCAGTGAAGAAAAACAAAAGATTGGCAACCCAGCATTCATCTTTCATCTTCTTGCTTGTGCTCAGTTGTATTTGGTTGGTCATTCTCTCACAGCGATTCAGGAACAGATCCTGATTGGATGAGGCCAGGGGCTGCAGACTGTAGCCTGCCAGCCATTTCTGGTCCACTTTTTGTAGCCTGAAAGTTGAAAGAGTTTTAATTACTAAACGGTTAAAAAAAATAAAGAGTATTTTGTGACACATGAAGATTATAGGACATAAAGATTTCAGTGTCCATAAATGAAGCATTTTGAGAGCACTAATACAGACAACCCCATTTGTTTATACTTTGCTTGTGGCTGCCTTCACTCTGCACCAGCAAAATTAAGTAGCTGTGGCAGAGACCATATGGCTGAGAGCCTAAAATACTTACTACATGTCACTTTACAAAATAAATTTTCTGTTTCTTAGAGCTGGAAACATTGCAACCAATGCACAGGTACACTTTTATACATGTTATGTGGGTGGATGGTTTTTGTGTAGTGTATTTATTTTATACATCATATTTATATGTCAAAAGCTTAAGCTTAGAAGTATTTTTTTTCAAAAAATGTGTTTTTTACTTGCTAAATTGTCATAACATGAAAACAAAAAATTTCCTGATGAAATGTAGCAAATATATGAAATAAACTTTGTCTAATTAAATCAAATTGAATTGTTAGTTGATCCTTCCCCACAATATTCCTTTATTTTTTCAAGTCAATGTCCAGTTTCCTAATATTGTTTTACAATTTATCACTATCCCATTATAAGATGCCCTTTCTGTGTCATATTTAACCCAATCTAATAACAAAAAAAGTTTATAATACCTAATTCAACCAACTATATTAACAGAAAATTATTGCCTGTACTTCATATATAGAATGTCTTTGGCTTAAGATAGTTTGACTTTCGATTTTTTTTGGCTTTATGAGAGCATGAATGTACTGTACATTTAGTAAAAACAACACTTTAATTTTTAATTTTTTTCTGGGTTAGCAATATGTGGTACAATTCTCTCATGATGCTGAGCACTGGCAGTGGCAGCAAGCTGCAGCTCCCCATCAGCCACATAAACATAAGTGTGAGCAAACAATATACTACAGTGGGCTGTATTATGAAGCTATTGTGTTTATCAGGTTCAATGTATTAGATGCATTTTTGACTTAATGACATTTTGAACTTAATGGGTTTAGCTGGACATACCCCACGGTTAAGTGGAGGAGCACTGCTGTTCCAATCAAAATACTGCCAATACCTTACTTGCTCTGTATTAAAGATGGCTTTCGTTGTTAAATTTGTTAAGTATACCTCATTCTGATTGTCTGATGAGCACCTAATGTGATATTTAAAATAATTGCTTATATCTTAAGAAGGTATGCTTTGTTCTTACATGCTATAACTTTGACATACTCTGTGGTATATTGTCACCGATACCTCATCTACTCAGTTCTGACATGAGCGTGCCCTCTTGATAGAATTTGACAACCTCTATCAATAGATATGCTTTAAGGTTGTTCTCTCTTTCAACCTGTTGTGAAAAGAAAAGACATGTTTTAAATTCCTGAGGCTTCTAAATCAAAAATTAAAATTAATTAGTACTTTTTGGAGACAATCCAGTAACTGGCAAATCTGTTACTAAGAAGAAAACTTAGAGCCTGTTCCCAGTGGCCACACTTGTAATCCTAGCTACTCTAGAGATCAGGAGGATAGTGGTTGGAAGCCAGACTGGGCAAATAGCTTATGAGACTCTACCTCAAAATACCCAACAGAAATAAAGGGCTGGCAGAGTGGCTCAGGTGATACCGTGCATGCCTACCAAGCATGAGGCCTTGCGTTCAAACTCCAGTACTTACAAAAAAAAACCAAAAAAAGGCCTGAGCTGGGCATGTGGCTCAGCAGAAGAGAACTTGTGTAGCATGTACAAGACCCTGGATTTGATCCCTAGCACTGAAAAAAAAAAAAAAAGAAAGCCTATAATAACAAGAATACTTTTTAGCTGGGCACTGGTAGCTCACACCTGTAATTCTAAGTACTTGGGAGCCAATCAGGAGGATCATGGTTTGAGGCCAGCCCAGGCAAATAGTTTATGAGACCCCATCTCCAAAAGAACCACAGTAAAATGGACTGGAGGTGTGACTCAAGTGGTAGCATGCCTGCTTTACAAGCATGAAGTCCTGAGTCCAAGCCCCAGTCCCATTCACACACACAAAAAGAATAAAGAAATAACAGAGCTAATGATAATGTAATGTTCCTGTTCTCCAAATTTAAGACACTATTTCTTGGCCATAGTCTCCAGCCATGAATTAGGAAGCACTAAAATTGATCAGACAAAGGATGAGATGTTGATAGCAATTGATTGGATACACTCATCCACACACATGCTCGTAAGGTCAGCCAACCTGTAGAAGCATCACATTTCTGAAAGCCAATCATTGACAGTTTTCACTCTGACCATGTCTCGAGGACAAGTCTTCCAAAGATGAACTACCAATTCCTTCCCTCATGTCACTCCATTCATAAGAGGGAGATTTTGTTCCCATCCTTGACTCTGGACTGGCCTGTATGTGGCAGGAGTGCTAAGCCTATCATTTAAGAAGTGTGGCAGCTTCCACTTCCCTTCTTGAAACTAACCATCATGCAAAGAGTTGGACTAGTCAAAAGTCACACCATGAAACTCAAGCTCTCGGTGGTGAAACCCATGGTACCAGGTCTCTGAGTAAAGTTTGCATAGTACCTCCAGCCCAGCCCTACCACTGGCTGGTGAAACTGGCCAAATGAGACTCTGGACAGTGCCAAGGGGAGCAGAAGAAATTATATCCAGCTTATTCATAGAGAAATAAGAAATACTGCTTTTAGCCATTCACTTTTGAGTGTTTTGAACTGAAACAGAAAATAAGCAATAAATAAAGCTTTCTTCTTTCTTTTTTATTTTTTGAGAGACTGGTTAGTTTTCTTTCACTAAGTTTAGAAGTATGCACAGCTACCAGAAGTTTGCCACCATTATGACAATTGTTTAATCTGATTTATAAAAAGGACTTACCCAAATATAACTGACCCATGAGAGAAAAGCAATTTGGGCTAAATTAGGTTGTCTCATACTGCATAGTGTCAT